ATAAGTATTGTGAATGCCCTCTGAGAAACGATTTCTGTCTTTTGATTCATATTTATATTGATATTGTATGACAGTATTGTCATATTTTGTAAACCTTTTTTGGGGAGTTATGCTGTGTCATTGTTCTAAATCTTAGTTTTGAATGTTTTTGTACTTTATTCTTGTTTCTATTGTATTATAATTTATATAATATGTTTTTTTCATTATAAATGCATTTGAACTATAAAGACAGGGCCCCCTTGGAAGATCATTATTCGATATTGAAAGGGCCGTCCAGTGCATTAAAAAAAAAATTGACAAAAAAAAATATATATATACAAATCGTTTCTTAAACATGCAACCATATAAAAGTTGTTCTCAATCTTGTCGGAACTTGTACATTATTACGAGAGAAAAATTCATGTCGAGTCTGTATAGAAACAAGGAATAACGCCCTTGACGTAAAGTAAAAAAAAATTAAATAAAGTAAGAAAATGTACAGGTATTAATACTTTTTTGCATCAAGTCTTTAAATAGGGTTAAACATATCGATTCGTACAAAATGATCCAACAAATTATACAAAATGTTAAAGAAAAGAATAACGTAATGACAGAAAGTTTAAAAAAATAAAAATAAGAATAAAGAAAGTGTACAGACGTTGATGCTTTTTTGTACATCAAGTCTTCAAAGGGGTGGGGGGGGGGGGGAATGATCGAGTTTTGCAAAATAATCTTATAAAGAAAAAGAAATAACGTCTTGACAGAAAGTTAAATCAAAACAATTTAAAACAAATTTGTAAAAAAGCGTACAGGCGTTAACACTTTTTTTTTCTATCTAATCTTCAAAGTGGAAGGAAAAAAAAAGATTGGTTCGTGCAACAATGATCTTTAAAAAAAAAAAAAGTATAAAACTTATTTAAAAGAAAAAGAAATAATGTCTTGAGAGAATCAAAGTGGAAAAAAAAATGATCCGTTCGTGCAAAATGACCAACCACAAAAAAAATGAAATGTTAAAACAAATTAAAAAAGCGTACAGGCGTTAACATCTTTTTGCATGAAGTCTTCAAAGTGGAGAAAAAAAAAGATCGGTTCGTGCAAAATTATCTTTTAAAGAAAAAGTTTTAAAACTTTTTTAAAGATAAAGAAATAACATCTTGACAGAAATTTAAACAAAAAACAAAAAACAAATGTTAAAACAAATTAAAAAAGCGTACAGGCGTTAAGACTTTTTTGCATCAAGTCTTTAAAGTGGAAAAAAAGATCGGTTCGTGCAAACTTATCAGTAAAGAAAAAGTTATAAAACTTTTTTAAAGATAAAGAAATATCATCTTGACAGAAAGTTAACACACACACACACACAAAAAAAAATGTTAATATAAATTAAGAAAAAAAGCGTACAGGCGTAAACACTTTTTTGTTTGCATCAAGTCTTCAAAGTGGAAACAAAAAAGATCGGTTCGTGCAAAATTATCTAATAAAGAAAATGTTATACACCTTTTTTAAAGAAAAAGAAATGACATCTTTAAAGAATCAAGTCTTCAAAGTGGACAAAAAAATGATCGGTTCGTGCAAAATGATCTACCAAAAAAAAAAAAAAAAAAAAAAAAAAAAAAAAAAAAAAAAAAAAAAAAAAATAATAATAATATTATGAAACTTTTAAAAGAAAAAAGAAAAAAACGTAATGATAAAAAAGTTTTTTTTGTTTAAAGAAAACAAAATAAGAAGGTGTAAAGGCGCTAATGCTCTTTGTACATCAAGTCAGGTGCTAATGCATTTGTAGGAATCGGGGTCATTGGAGGCGGGGCAGTCATCTCCCTTGCAAAGTTTGCAGCGGAAAATGCAGTCGTGTCTGAGTTTCTTGTCGTATCCTACCAAACACTCGTGGCAAAAATATGACTTGTTGTAGAAGGCGGCCATTGATGTAATGAGATCAAAGTGATTGTCATGAACATACAGATAAATGGTATGCTGCCTGTCTTCGGGGCCAGCATACGTAATGAAGTTTAAGTGCTCTTTTGAAACAACCACCACCCTGAAACCGGCCATGAATTCCGTCTTTTCGAAGAGTTTAATCTCTTCGATGCCACATTTGGTATTTTCTGGAAGTTTGGCCTGTTTATACAGCTCAATGGCATATTCCCTTTGCTGTTTGTAACCACGTTTGATCGACTCAAAATTAGGGTGTTTTTCAATCCGGGCAATGCCAGTTACGATAGCCCTTGGACAACACATGTTATCTTTATTCTTCATCCTGATGATGCATCTTTTTCTGGACAATGTCTCTTCGATGGTTAAGCACTTCACATTGGAACCACCACCATTTGGCATAGCCATGTGTAATATGTTGAAAGAGACTGTTTCGTCCAAGCTTACCTTATCATTCGATTGAATAGTATTCTCAAGTTTGGTTGCAAATGCTTCGTGATTCATTTGATCCCTCCTTACAAATGGCATACTAACGGGTCTATCTAATTGTGGGGAAATGAAAACAATCCTAACAAAATCTCTATCATTTACCCCCTCAACCATCTCTTCAATGATATTTTCAAACATCTCATTTACGCGTGGCATCATTTCTATCATGGGACCGTTATTTTCTATGGGTTGGAAAGAAACGGTGTAATCAGTTACATTAGCATTGTATTTGCGTACATGTTTTTGACTCACTTTGGTCACGTGATGAGTAGGGAGATTGGGTTCTCTTGCAGGCGGTGCATCTACAACACGTTTCTTAGATCCCCCAACATGAAAAGACGAGGGTCCGGCTACTGCTGCTGCTCTTGGTTGACTGTGGGAGGGTCCGGCTACTGATGGTGGTTGTCGGGAGGGTCCGGCCACTGCTCTTGGTTGACGGGAAGGTCCAGCCACTGCTGGTGGTTGTCGGGAGGGTCCGGCCACTGCTGATGCTGGATGGCGGGAGGGTCCAGCCACTGCTGTTGCTGCTGGTTGGCGGTTAGAGGGGCCAGGTACTGATGTTGCGTCACATGGCTTATTTGTATTGATGTCCATCTCCATTAAATGGTCATCGGAAATGCCTACGAGATAAAAAAAAGAAAAAAAAAAAAAAAGAAGATATATAAGAACGGATAAAAAGTTTCATTCAACCGCTACAATGTATTGTGTTGTCTTCATACATGAAAAAAAAAAAATGAACATTCATCCAATGATCCTTTGCATTGATGTATATATAAATGAAGTATACACTAACCGTCATCAAAATTTGGTTGCCATGGAGTAGCTGCGTCATGTGGAAGACCTTGCTGGTGCTGCGTTGCTAGGGGGAGAGGGGGCTGTTGGTTCTCGACGAACACATCCACTAAATCATCATCGGTAATCCCTACAAGTATAATTGAATAATTTAATTAAATTTATAATTTGAACGTATACTTTATAATACTTTATAAATCTTTTTTTTTTTTTTGCTTACACGTGAGTTTATGTTTCAAATGGAGATATCAATCATTATTTAATTTGCATTGAACAAAAAAAAACACTCATTATGTCACATCGTTGCCTATTATGGATTTTCGATGCTTAATCTCCTTCTTGAATTCCAGATGCAAACCCGATATGGTAACACTACAAAATTATTCAATTATGAATATGAAAATAAATAAATAAATATGATTAGCACTTACCATCTTCCAAGTCCTGCAAACTCAAAAAGTAGGATGACCTTGCAAATACCAAAGCATGTTGTTCTGGTTCAAGGTCTTCATAATATTCCTCACGAAAACTCGATACTTCTTCCAGGCATGTACATGCCCGAAGCTTGTGCATTAAATCACATGTAGAAATCATGGTACATTATAGAATCTGGCCAGTATTACAACAAAAACAAAGCGATGTTGACTCAACGACAGTTAGATGTCATATGATACTTGCCCATAGGTTCACCATTTTCTCTCGTCCAATCACAAACAAGTACCAACTTTGGGTCACTTCCTTTCTAAAAAAATCCTCGCATTCTCATTGGTCGGTAACACACACATTCAACATACATGCCGGGTGGCCCCATTGTTTGGTCATTTGGTCCTTGTCCCTCGTACCCTACACACGTCCATCCTCCACCTCTCCATGAATGAATGAATGATGTAAACAAAAGAACTTCCTCCAGGGGATGTACCCTCATTACGTAACTTCCGCCGGAAGGACACCCCAATTAACTCATTAACTTTCCCCTATTGTTTACCGGAAGTCACCGGAAGGATTAACTAATTAACCGGAAGGATTAACTAATTAACCGGAAATGCCAATTAACACTTCCTATATAGGGGTACCTATCTTCTCCCGTAGAAACCAATAGAAACCAGGAAGATCTAATGGTTTGAACATGGGTGTAAAAATCCTAAGTCAAACCATTAGAAACCTTAACAAACCAGTAGAGCCTAATAGTTTTGAAGACCAGTAGAAACCGATAGAAACCATTAAGATCTAATGGTTTGAACATGAGTGAAAAAATCCTTAGTCAAACCATTAGAAACCTTAACAAACCAGTAGAGCCTAATGGTTTTGAAGACCCGTAGAAACCAATAGAAACCATTAAGATCTAATGGTTTGAACATGGGTGAAAAAAATCCTAAGTCAAACCATTAGAAACCTTTGCAAACCAGTAGAGCCTAATGGTTTTGAAGACCCGTAGAAACCAATAGAAACCAGGAAGATCTAATGGTTTGAACATGGGTGAAAAAATCCTAAGTCAAACCATTATATAAACCTTTACAAACCAGTAGAGCCTAATGGTTTTGAAGACCAGTAGAATCCAATAGATCTAATGGTTTTAACATGGGTGTAAACATTCTAAGTCAAACCATTAGAAACCTTTACAAACCAGCAGATATATCGAGCTCAGTGGTTCTGAAACCAGTATATGATCATTCTAGCACCGCCTCTTGATCAATCTAACTTTTTTTTTTATTTAAGCCCAAAACAGCTAGGGGTGAAAAACTCTCAAATTGCATTAGTCATTATATTAATAGTTTTATTTTACAGATTGTGCAACATCTTGACATGCCCTATAAGGTCTGCAATATTGATCAAGACTACAAGCCCCAAAACCCCCAAATGCAAATGCGACTCCCGCCTTTTTTGAACGGGTACATACAGCATGGCATCCCTCTGTGCTACACTATAGCACTGTACTGTGTGTCAAGGCATGCAGTGTGTGCGTACAACCAGCCAGCTGCCATGCATGCCGTATGAGACACACACAAGACAGCAAGACAGCCATTCCTATCAACAGCTACAGGAGCCAGAGCAGAGACAAATCCTTTTATTACTTTGTTTTCCCCTGCTATTCTTCAATATGGGTAAGTTTTAGATTTACCTAATTTATTTGCAATATGTGCAGTAACTGTTTTCTGTTTTGAAACGTAGTAATGTATGATTGTGAACTAGTAGAAGTAGGAGTGCTTTCAACGCCTGCCGCCAAGATGAGAAATGTATTGTATTGTCCCATCTATCTATTTTCATGTTAGATCTTGATGGAATCATCATTCAAAGCAAAGTTTGTGCATTCACCTACACATGGCTTTAAAGGCATCGTTTAACAATGTTAAATCTGAGATGCATGGCCCTACGTATCATGCACTGTGTCAGTGATATGGTGTAATATTGAAGCCCTGAAAAATTTCGCTTCAAAATGATCATGAATGATGAAGTGCCTCAAAAAGTAAAAATCTTTGACTTTTGAGTGACCGGTTTTACTATACTCATTTTTCCCAATAGACTGTAGTGTTATAAAACCGTTGGGGAAAACGGTTTTTTGAAATTTCGAATTCCAATCATAATCTTGATAATCAGACAGGCGATTGGCTTGTATTAAACGTCATGGGATTTTTTACTGACCTAAAGGTTTATGCCTATAATTATGATTGCAGCATGAGCTTAATCCAGGATTTTGTTTCAGAATCTGAGGCAATGTTACCGAGTCACTTTAACTCTGCTGTAAACCATGTCAATTTTGAGAATTGAGTGCTTTATTCTTTTTTAAAATAAATAAAGTGCTGCATGAGAAGCATAAACGCCTGATCTGCAAGACTACAGTAGTTTTAATTTTATATAATTTTCTCGTCTTTTTTAAATTTTGATTACATGTATTTCAATTTAAACGACTTAAACGACTTATATTCCTTAAATTCTGTTTTAAACTACTGATTTAAAACACTAGTCAACGCACCCTTTCGCACCGAACGCACTAGTCAACGCACCTTACATTCAGCTATTCAGGTTCGTGGCTATAACTCACCCCCCGTGCTTATCCCGAAAAGGGTGTGTTAAGGCGGTACTCCGTTCTCAACGCACCCTAATTTCGAGACAAGCGGGGGAGGGGGCTTTAATCTATTTATGGTGTGTTCGCACAATATATACAGAAGCCCTTATCTGGAAATAAACGGCTAGAACCGTAAATGGTAAACAAAATTCTTTACCCACAGGCTGTACGAAGTAAGAAGATTAAAGTAGGCCTACATGAATGTGTGTTGCACGTGCGTCAACCGTTCAATTTGTTTTAACTTTATTTATTTTCTTATTAATTGTAGGCATCTGTTGACATCTTTCGCCAAACAGTGGATTCAAACACATTGTGGCAACAGTATATTGACGTGAGACCATGCAGAAAATGCTACTTTCTCTCAACCTTCTGGATCAGCATTCAGCAGCGTAGCAGCCTCATGACACATTTGAAGCCTTTATCGGTAATTGGGCAGATGTACTTGTATTATTTCTGTACATATATTTTTCATTCTTCCATGATCATGACACTGATTAATTAGACATCAAGAATTATTCATTTCATTCGAATAAAATGAGTTTCATATATATATAATTCAATTAATTTCAGATCACTAAAACCTGCAGGTATGTTGCAATAACCGACCATATTTTGTGAGTTTCGAACAGTGTTCTTTTCCCTCCTCAGCAATGGAGCTTTGATTCTTCTTTTATCACCAAACTAGAATTGTATTGATAATTATTTACAAACAAATCCTGAATCATGTTTGCATTGCCAACAAACTTTTAAAATGCAAAGGCATGTTTATATTATGTTTGTAAGCAATGAGAGATTATTTTATTTAGTACTTTTCAGACAGAATTTATTATTTAATTCATTGTTTACGTTCTAGTTTTAAAATGTATAAACGTTTTTCTTAACTTGTTTTCCTTTCTTTTTGCTCTATTGATGCATTAGAATTCTTTGCGTGCATGTACCCTGGATCAAGCAGCACTTGCCTTATACAGGAGATTCTACCCAAAATCTAAACCATGAGTCCCAGCTGAAGAGGAATATTTCCAAAATGAGGTCTACACACATAGAGGTTACTTTCCCCTTCATTATAGAGATACAGAGAGAGGGAGAGAGAGATGGGGGGGGGGGGGGGGAGTGAGTTATAGCCACGAACCTGAATAGCTTAGCTGTAGAACTGAAATGCCCATTCATGTCACTTGCCATTTTGATGAATTACAGGGTTTACAAACATACATGTAGGCCTACATTTTTACCCTTTGGGGAAAAGATCTTGGTATTTGCGTATATTTGTTATTACTATTTATGACGTAGACCTGTTTCATAATGCGTATGTAGTAGATCAGTCTCGTGCTCACCCCCACCCCCTTCGTATCGAAATGTCAATTCCAAAAACCTGTGGCAAATTATATATATTGGTAATAGAGAAAAATTGAGTGAGGTAAATGCAATACAAATCTATTCCAATCTTAAGCACTTAAGACTTGTTAAGGAATGGCACGTGAACCGCCAAAAAATTAAAAAAATTGTGTCTTGAAATAAATGGGAAAGTAGTCCTGCAGCTCATCATAGTGACGTACATTACCGATTCAGCCAATTTAAAATGCCCATAGGTTTAGTGATCACAGCTTTCAACAATCCATAACCACCTTATTTTGTGTCAGATTTAATGTGGTATTTTTTAAAAGTATAGTTGTCTGTTAAGGTTGGATTTCTCTTTAAAAAGTGTAAAGGGTAAGCCCTATGTAACATAATGTGATGAGGCAATTTTCGTTATAAAACCAAATCAAAGTGCCGCGGAACAAATTATTTCGTTCACCTGTTAAGAATAATGGTATTTCGATAGTCAGAATGCGAAATGCAAACATGTGTTGTTAGGTAGGGCAACACATAATGTATTCAATTTGCATTCTGACTATTTAAATACATTTATTGGTAAAAGGTGAATTTAATAATTGGTAATGAGGCACTTAACGAGGACCTATTCATTAAATTTGATAATTACAATACGACAATGGCCTACATGTATTCATATGAATGGGAAATCTTTGAACTGTTATGTCGTTTCTGAGGGTTCATAATTTTATATGTTCAAGGATTCATAATTCTACAAATGAAGTAGGGTTCTTAATTCTGAAAATGAACTAGGATTCATAATTCCAAAAATGGAATATGGTTCATAATTCCGAAAATTAAATAGGGCTCAATATACTTCCAAAAGTTTATTATTCTGAAAATGCAAATAGAACCCTTTATCCTTTTTGGAATTACGAACCGTCAATATAATGAATCCTATTTTATATTCAAAATAATACCATTTCATTTGCGGAAATATTAACCCTATTTTAATATCGTTATTAACGCCCCTTTTTCGATTCCAGAATTACGCACCCTATTTATTTTTCGTAATTATGAAATCTATTTCATTTCTAAATTCAAACCTTTTAAAATATGGACCATATTTCATTTGTTTATCAAATGTCAGGAGGAAATTGAAATTTGTCATAATACATTGTACTATCAAGTTACATTTATTGATGAACAGCACACTCTTTAGTTACCATAATATCACATCACTTGTCAAAATAATAAGGCCGTGAATGATTTTCTTTTGCTTGTGAATGTAGTAGGCTTATATTATGTAGTACACAATATTTCATTTCCAATTGCTGCAACTTTATATCAATCCTTTACATATACTTTGACAATCTACAGGTAAAAATCATGCTTTGAGTTATCATTTGTGAATTATTCTCCAAATTGAAATGCATGAATAAAGTACTTAAATTTGTGCAAGTGAACTTATTCTCTATGGTGGAAAATTACAAAAGAAATTTCTCATCAAAAATGCATGCTCATTGTTTCTACTCATGATACTTACCGTAAGAAAACTTGTAAATTGCCAAACCTACTCTTTTAAACATCTACTCCAAATTTTCAAGATTGATTTCTCTCTGTTAAAACTGGCCATAACTTTTAGACAATAATTACACAATTTAACAGTTTTTTGTGTGTCTTCTTTTGTTGTTGAAATGTGTAAAAAAAAAAAAAAAAAAAAAAAAAATCCTTTTTTATTTAAGCTGTTAAACGTTCATGTAATTGTAATCACTATATGATGTATGATATTCTGACAGATAATAAAAGGATACACTGTTAAGTGTTAAATATGATAAAGATGAACCAACAGGATTGTGATGTCTTTTGTTAACAGATCTTTGCGAGAGAAGTGGCTGAACCTCAAGAAAATGGTTAATTGTGTTGGAAGCGAACTTCATGCCAGCTCTTGTCATTTTCGTGTCTTCTTTGCAGACCAGCATGCTCTTTCAAAGTAAAAACAAAAAACAAACAAGGGCTGGCAGATTTTGTGAAGAGTACTGTGTTGGAAGTGCATTGAGGTAGTATAATTTCAACTGATCAAAACAATGTCAACCATGTAATGTAACCAATGCTATGGTTCAATTGGGGATTCCTACTTGTTTTCTACTGGTCTCCTAATGGTTCCATTGGGGATTCCTACTTCTTTTCCACTGGTCTCCAAATGGTCCCAGTTGGGATTCCTACTGGTCTCCTAATGGTTCCATTAGGGTTTTCTACTGGTCTTCTACTGGTCCCCTAATGGTTTCTGTACGGATTCCTACTGGTCTCCTAATGGTCCCAGTTGGGATTCCTACTGGTCTCCTAATGGTTCCATTAGGGTTTTCTACTGGTCTTCTACTGGTCCCCTAATGGTTTCTGTACGGATTCCTACTGGTCTCCTAATGGTTCCAGGACTTCTTTTTTACTGGTCTAATGGTTCCAGCACTTCTTTTCTACTGGTCTCCTAATGGTTTTTGTATCGATTCCTACTGGTCTTCTACTGGTTCCAGTGGGGATTTCTACTTGTTTCCTACTGGTCTCCTAATGGTTCCAGTTGGGATTCCTACTGGTCTCCTAATGGTTCCGTTAGGTTGTTCTACTGGTCTTCTACTGGTCTTCTGCTGGTTCCAGTACGATTTTTTTCTACTGGTTTTTAATGGAAAAAGCGCCACTTTCCATATTGAAACCAGTAGAGAATTGACCAGTAGAAACCATTAAAAATCTGTACTGGTTTTCTCTAATGGTTTCTATGGGATTTTCGACCTGGGAGACCATGCAATTTTCTTCCATTATTTTGTCAAACCAGTTTTGCAGCAGATATCAGTTGATATAAGGATTCATTATTTTATTTTGTTTCAGTGATTAATATACCCTACTTACATTGACGTTTTTTCGATAGCCGGGCTAGCTAGCCGTTTTCCATAGGCCTTTATTGATTTAATAACAAGTCCCTACGACAAGATAACATCCATTTCACTCCCAAAATAAAATCATTTAAAAAATCAACATAACTTGATATATTTCGAGGGTATTTTAAAATGTCGGTCCTTATGATACTAACATGAGCACCGAAATGTAGGACCAGTGGCGTAATTTTTAAATATTTTTGTTAACTGGATCAATGCAATTTGGTGCATAAGTACGCTAAAGCCCGTTTAAACACCAATCGCACGATTTAGGGTCACATTTTGATCAAAATTAACTTCTTTTCAAAGGATTTATGTTTTTCATTGACAATTTTTAATGGTAAATAACTAAATATACATGTAATTTGGATCTCAGAGTTCAGAGAATTTTAAAGTAATGTGTCATTAATGCATGTATAACACATTTTCGGCGTCCCAAGGCAAAAGCGATGCCCCCCCCCCCTCACGGAGGGCCCAAAATGGTGGTGCCCAGGGGCCGAATTTGTCATTGAAGTATCATGAATGGTGTGAATATACGTATTATGTTAAAACCATTCTATTTTCCAACAGATTTTATAAATCATTTCAACCTTGGGCACTTTTCGGCGCTTCTCACCGAGGTTATAGATGAGACAGAATGCAAGAGAGAAGTTATTGGATGCGCCTTCCTTTCCTTTCCATATAATTACATTGCTGGTCGGGCATGTTTTCTACACTGCTGTTATGTGAAGCCAGCCTTCAGAGGTATGGATCTATTTTATATTCAAAATAACCTTCAATCCTACTTCTAAGCCCCCCCCCCCCCCAACCCCATCCAGGTTACGCCAATGCTAACTTCTTTAACTCTTTGTCCACCATGCATATCCCTCAACTGCCTCAACTCGGGGACCCATAACACCTAGCCCATGCAGTGCAGAGTTTTTTCGGGGTAGAGTATGTTGACGAAATATTCATTTTGACTGATTTTAGAAATATATAGAACCTTATTGGTAGCATTCCTTACTTTTGTTCGTCTTTCTTGTTTTTGTGTATATATAATATATATATAAATTGGACAACAGAAATAATAGATTGTTTACATTACGTTCCTGTAAATCATAATAATGGCCGGTGATGTATAGACAAGGAATATAAAATATTGATTCATGTAATTATCAAATAACAAGATTCAAGATGACGTTTGAACTCTCATGCGGTGGGTTAGACAACATTTTTCTACTCCCAAATAAATTATGATAACGATGTTTACCACTTGATAAATCCATTATGATATTTTTTTTAACCTTCCAGACCATGGGCTCCAGCCTGAATTGATAAAGCTAGCCAAAAAGGTTTGTTACAAGTTCAACTTCCGATATAGTTGAACAGAACATTAAAGGATTCAATCACTTTATAATTATCTCCTTTGAGATAGTTTGTTTGTTTATTATATGACTCTTCATATATTTATGGTAAGACATTAAGACCAATGTCGTGCACTGTACTACACTCTTTTAACGAGTAATCGTTTCATGTACAAACGATTCGTTTGTACATGTACTATGATATTCTTTCTTAATTTCCCTTCACAGAACCACCGTTTTTCATTAGACCAAGATCCCTTCCCAAGTGCGAATTCTTAACCAAATTTTCCATCACATTAATGTACATGTAGATCATCAGAATATGTTGTTTTTCGATATAATTTTCGTAGTGCGATTATAAAAGGGTGTATCTAACTGAGCGGCGAACGCTTACGAACGTTCGAATTTTGGATTTGCCAACTTTTCTGACGAAAGATTAGTAAATATTTGCCAATTCTTTGCCACTATTTGTAAATGTTTGGGACCTTTTGCTAACTCTTTATACTCAATGGGTCGATTTTATATAGGAACTATAATTATGGTCACGTGGTCGCTAGCATTGGCGAATCAAAAAGAACTTCAGCGACACCGTCTTACAATCGTTTGCAAAGGCTTGCGACTGCTTTGTAAACGCTTGCAACTGTTTGCGGAAAGATAAATTCGTAAAGAAAAACAGTTTGCAACGATTTGAACTGTTTGCGAACCTTCTTGCAACCTTTTACGAACATTCTGCAATGTTTTACGATCCCTTTCGAAACCCCAAATTCGCTACTTTAGCAAGCATTCGTTGCTCAGTGAGATACCCCCTTCAGCCTAGTTCAGAGTTTATTCGGGGTAGAGAGTCTTGGCAAAATATTCACTTTGGCCGATTTTAAAAATGTCTAGAACCAAGGCTAGGTAATGAGTGATGATGAATCTCATATTTGCGTCTGTCAACTATATTTTGCGTGTTCATGGTTCTGTTACAATCGCGGCTATGCCTTTGATTCTAGGTTTCTGTAGATAAAGGAACCCGCGCCAGCGTGATGACTGTATGTGGGAAAGACGGTACATTCGAATCAGCCTTGGAAGCTGAAGGAGGGATCAATATGACCACCATGCCGTCAGGTCCTGGTGATTTCTGGGAGATGCAGAATCACTCGACTATACCAGAGTTTTCGGTAAATTACTTCATGTAGATTATATTAAATGATACATATTTGACATCATTGTACTTTTTAACCACATAAAACATACCTACATAGTACATCCATAAAACATTACATCGTTAATAATTATTGTTTAGCCGATTTCCATTTCAATGCTCGCTTTATTGTGAACTATTTTCCCCATAAGGCCACTCTCTTCTCTCCCTTCGTTTAAATGTTGTGGTCTAGTGGTAAGTCAGTGGACTGTAGATCACAAGGTACGGGGTTCAAATCCAGGGTAATAATGTCTCAGCGCCATGAGCATCATTGATTGACGGATATGCACTCTCCCCTTCCCCCCTCCTTCTCTCTCTTTCTTAATAACTCTGTATAACTCTCTCGATTATACTATCTCTCACTTAAATCTCACATGTTCTTACTTTCTGTTCTCATTTACTTTTCAGGATGACGATTATGTGATTCGTGAAGGGACACCTGAAGACCTAGATGACGTATACGCTTTATGTGAAAAGCTGATTGAGTATGAAAAAGTGGAGGAGTTTGTATCGAATACCAAAGAAGGTAAGCTGCTAGAGGCAAAGGCAAGAGACAAGCAAGACAGTAAAATTGGCTAGTAATTAATGAAAATAAAATGATATACCTTTGAATTACGCGGAAGAATGCATGCATGTAATAAAAAATAGGCCCTTTTCTTTATCCGACTTAGTAGATCATATTTGATACTTATGCAGCGTCTAAAAAATCATTTTCTAAGCTCTCCTGCTACCCGAAGATGCCAGCATAGCTGATAATATGTGGTTGGACTAACGTGTGCGTTTCGGACCTTCTAACAGTGTTTAGAAGGTCCACATGACCGCAGTGTTCGGGCCTTTTATGAACATCTATTTATAAGGTCCACATAGGACTGCAGTTTTGGGCCTTTTGTGAACAGCTGTTTAGTATATAGGTCCGCGGGACCAAAGATCACGAGGCCGGAGGCCGACTAGGTGATAATTTCGATCATGAACTTTCTACTATAGTTGTCTCATCAGGAACCGAGCTCTCATTGCTGTCCCCAGAATTAACTTCAGTGGAAAAAGTAAATGTAAACTGCGTTCATCAGTTTATTTGGTTGACTAGAGTAACATGTGCCCGAGATTAATACATGACAAAAGTAGCATTCACTATTTGGTTCGTTCTTTTTACATGTGTATATAAGAAATTTTAACATAACTTCCGTATATCTTGTACCCCCCCCCCCCCCCAGAATTTGTAAGCGATGGCGGAGTGGATGAAGCCCTGTACGGAACAGTCATTTTAGAACATCGGCGTCGTGTTGACGACCATGAGGACACCGTCATCCATGATATCATCGGATGTGTACAATATTCAAAGATGTATCATGCATTGAAAGGAAATACATATTACCTACAAGGACTCTATATCGAACCAGGTCATAAAGGTATAAAGCCGTCTCTTCTCATTCTTCTCTCATGTATTCTGCCAAAGGCAGGTCCACAAACCAGAGTCATCAGTAGTTCTTTCCCCATCCCTCTCTATCTTTAGCCCTCTTCTTCATTCTGTCACCTATCAAGTCTGACGCAATCCCAGTTTGCCGTCTTCCTCTTACCCTTTTACCAACCATCTTTCCTTCCAAGATGTACCATGTAACCCCCCCCCCCCCGTAAGATGTGTCATTTCAGTATGTTCAGTGTAATTGGCTTTTCTGGTTCAAAGAAGAAAACATTCTTGAAAAGAAATGAAGCCGTCGAGAAGAAGAAAAAAATTGAAAATAGAAAATTTATTTGAGATTAAGATTTGCCAAATTATTCGTTATATAAATACTGTTAATCACACGTAATGATTTATGCTACAATATGTGCAACATCTCTAATATTGTGTGAATGCTAATTTCATGAATGTTCATTAGTGTTTAAATCTAGTCTAGTGTGTGTTAGTTTGTTCTGCTTCTTTAGTCATTCGTGTGTTACGTGAATGAATCAAGCAAGTGCTTTTAATTAATATTACTTGTTTTGTGTTTTGTTTTACCTATTTGTAAAGATGAATAAATTCTGGAATATTGTTTATGTTTGTTTATTAGAAATTACGAAATAAAATGTCCATATCGTCTTGATTCTTTCCTATGCTTCATATATTTTCCAGGAAAAGGATTGGGTAAGGCATTAGTCCAAGCAGCACTACAGGTAAGAGTCAGCTACTAGATTAATTGAAGGATTTTTTAAAAGTCATAAAACCATCCTCGCTATCGCAAGACTGAATTGCGTTTTTTGTAAAAGACCAACACTACATTGCTGTTTAAGCGGGGGAATTTGTTGTTTCTTTCGTTTATTACACTTATTTCTAATCTAACCCAAACAATATTCTCAAAGCATTCGCTTGGATCCAGCCGAAGCATTCTGCTTTTTAAAGTTTAAAAAACTCACCTGCCCCGTCAAAGAAATTTCCAATCGAAGTTTGAAGATTTAAATTTAAATTTAAATTTTTAATTTAATTTGATGTCGCCGATATCCCTACAGCCAGTCGCCATAATAGGGTTAGCATTCTAAACAAGGGTCTCGCGTTCGAATCCAGTGATTTTTTTATCAACTATTCTTGGAATTTCATAATCAATCGATATTTAAAAGAGTTTCCAGAACAATTTGTATAATGTTATATGCTTTCAATTATTAAAGTAATTTGTATGCATGTGATCTCATGTTAATCATTTCGAAGAACCCATTTAAACAGATCTTTTTGTTCTTCATCCGATGCACCATTCGGCCATGACGGATCTTTTCCTCGTTTGTTTTTTCTTTTCTTTTCTATTTTACAGATTTGCAAGGATCGCAATGGTGACGGATTCATCTTCATGATTATGACTGAAAACATCGTATCACAATCACTCTTCAAATCACTCAAGGGTATTAACATGACTCAATCAAAACATAACGTAACATCATACTTACTCAGGTAACAAGATATTGCAAGCACATATCACTGGTAGATTAAATTTTAATTTCGATCATAGAAGGTTCAAAGATCTCGTGTAGATTCTTAATCAAAATCTATTCCCCTTTATCTTAAGCAGCAAGGAATTAACGATGAAGGTAGCTATCAAATCCAAAGTTTCCATTGTTTTTGCGACAATAATTGGAAATTAAGCAAAGCCATATAACTCTTAAACAATATAAAATAAGGTTTTGCCACAAAAAGAGAGACAGAGAGAAGAGAACAAAGAAAATAGCTACAATATTATTGGGCCGAATAAGGAACGGTTATTTTAGCAGCAGTTGCTTGGTAATCACCTGCCTCTGACATTTCTATGTTTTCTATACTTTATAAATTATAATTATGTGCTCAAACCCTCTACCCTTATATTAGGAGTCAATTGAGTGAGCCATTAACGACACTTCAACCGATAGAGTTGATTTTATTGGCCCGTCTTTGCGGGTCCATGAATAAGCTTGTTTTCGGCTCATGATTCCACTTTTATTTCAAACATGGCTGCCACTCGTAATTTACTGAGAATGAAAGCAAAGGCATATTAAACTTGCTTATTGCAAATTATGAAATTCAACCACTAGTCAAATAAGTGTGCAAATACAGGTTTAAAACGCAGAAGCACACACGTGCATGGAGCAAATAAATACGAATGTAAGAATAAGGGATGAGAGTAAAATAAAGAGATAAGACACCTTGTGAAAGATGAAAGAAGGAGTGTGTGACTAATGTGCTTCTACCTCTGTTTTGCCCTTATGATTTGCATACGTGATGAATTTTTCAATAATTCATTTTGTATTTACTTCTCCTTTTCGGGGTCTATATATCAACTTTTTAATTTACATGTATATTGATATTTGTATAGTGCAGCTGGATGATTTTCAATCTGTACCTTATTTTGCTATTTTCTGTATGTCCTTGTATATTAAAGATAATAACAAATTGAGGATTTTGTTTCAAAAAATTTAATTGACTTGAGTTTACTTGAACTGTGTAATGTGCGTGTGTGGACGTATGTTGTGCAGAAGTGCTAATAAACGTTATGATTATTCGCTCATCGACCAGCTATAATTATGTCGACACAACAAAGCATGGGTTAAACACGACCGTAACAAATTGAAATCTAGAACAAAATACATTTTGCCTAGAGCGAAATTATTTTGTCTCGAACAAACTTAATTTTGTTGCATATTGCTCCGATTGTCTCATTTTCGCTCGCGTGAACATTGCCGGCACAAACCACTGACCTCTACCTCCTGAACGGATCATCGCCCATTCCCATTCATTATACGTTACGTACTAAAAGGCTGTATTGTCTGACCGTTCATGAATATTCATGTGTTTGCTAAACTCGGCAAAATGTTTGCTTTTACTAAATGGAAAAATTACGGTGGGGGGGGGGGGGGTTGGACGAAATGGACATAATGAAATAGGCAGAAGTGATCTATGATAATTCATGCTTTTTATGTTTCGTGTGCTCGACCTATAATCTTCAAATCGCTTGGTAAACTGAGTCCAAAGTTAGACTTGTTTCACATGTGTATTATAGGCAATGACGAGCTTGCAACCTATTTTGAAAAATTACGGTGGGTGAACTTTCAAAAGTCAATGAGACATGAGGGCTTCAATGAAAGAGCTAGTGATAACGTACGTCGGGGTGGATGTGCTTTTCGTTTAAACAAAAAAATGAATTTTTAACGATTTTTAAAAAAAACGTCCATAGGCTAACATGTTAGGCTGCTGACTCTGATCATGCTCTGACGATAGGGGGCGTTGTGAAATAAACGGAGCCATATGTAAAATAATTCCTACAAAAAAAATTGTAACAGCTTTTATGTTACAGAAAGAATTCTGTTACAAAATCATTTTCCTCGCAATGTTCAGACAACTTCTTTGTCTTATACATTCTTTCCAAACTATGCTGATTTTTTTCTTCTTTCAAGGTACCTGTATGACTATTCTTCTTCTTCTTCTTCTTGGGGGGGGGGGGGGGGGGGTGGGGTGGGAGAAAAAATAACATGTATTGCAACTTTCTTAAGTGAATAGAAAGTTGGATACCAAACAAAAAATGTCATCACCTCCATTGTTGTATGATGTAGGATATTTACCAAATTTCTTCTCAAGTCTTCGTGATCCACACGGTGAAATTCAACGTCCAAAATGTAGTTCAAAAAAGGGATCGAACTTCACATTGCTCTGATATTTTGCTTCTTTTGTATGACTTTAATTGCACGTGTTGCATAAGTTAAAGTGGAAATTAAAAAAAATCACAAAATGTAAATTAATGTATAATAATAAAATAATAATAATAGGCATTTCTATAGCGCCATCTATCTAGAAACTGGTAAGAGGACATTTTTTTTTGTCCCGAAATTTGAAAATTTGACCGATCGACGTTCCGTTGGGGGGGGGGGGGGGTAAGGTCACCTTTTTTAGGTCACTCATTGGCATAAATTTTTTTTTAATTAAAAAAAAAATGAGGGTGGGGGTTCCTCCAAAACCCACACATAAAAACAAATGAGGGGGGGGGGTTCACCCCAACCCCCCCCCCCCCATGCAAATCATGTCCATCCTGTGATCTCATACATCTCAGCAACGTTCGGAGAGCTCTTCAGGTGCTATGCCGGGGCTGTATTTAAGTGTTTTGTAATAAGCAATGGACTATCCAACCGTTTTATCATTCTATCATTGTTATATAAGTCTTTGATTTTGTTATATTGTGTTTTTGTTTTTTTATGATGATTTTCGGAAATAAAACAAACAAATTACTTCGAATGTTTCCAAGCATTGAATTTTGATAACCTTGTCGAATCAAATTTTTACCTTTGCAATAATGAAAATAAAGTTAGTTTTTAAAATCAATGAATATCTACTTGAAGCTGCTCTGATTTATTTTCTAGTACATGTTCTCGTTTTATTGTCAATTTGAAAAGTGTTCCTTGTCTGTATTTTCTTTTCTTTTTACAGTTTACATAATTTGTCATTACAGCGTTTATAAAAGAACAGAGTGGATCGTCATTTAAATACCCTTTGTGTTTTTTGTTCATCATGTGAAATAGATAAATAAATGATAAATAATGCATTTTAAAATTGAAAAAAGCGTTATAATGATTACTTGATATCAACAAAAGGGGCGGTGTGGTCAATTTAGCAATATGAGACTATGAAAGTCGAATATTGTATGCATTTTGGCCAAACCCATATAATGTGCATAGCAACATCTGCACGGCCAATAGGCAAAAACTTACAAATAACCATTTACTCCATTGCGCCCCACCCCCCCCCCCCATAAAAAAAAAAAGATTGACGCCCCTGTATCTCAGGCTTGTCTTTGACACGTGCTCCTTTTCTTTTTTAATAAGTGTCTTGTCCCTTTCGATATGTTTTCCCTTTCCTCTCATCATTAAACGAGCCTCTAATTTCAAGCGACTAAGAGCAATTTCCCCCAAAGCTCACACACTACGCTTCCTCACATTAAGACATAATAATGTTACTAATCAAAAGACTGTTAAGTCTCCGTTATGAGAATGTGCTTACAGGATTGGTTTTTTTTTCCTCTTAATAAGATGTAATTTTTCGCACTGCAACCTCACAGATCTATACAAAAAAAGTACCAATCTATACACATTTATTTTAAAAAGCGGAACAGTAATATTATTTAAACACATTAATGTTCATGTGTCTTCGCCGGTCATCTGCATTGTTAACACGTCGGTATACATGAATCTCGGTTTGTTTGACTCTCGGCTCAATCTCTTTCTCCCTCTTTCTGCTGATCTAACCTCCTCTTCTTAGAGCTTTTGCAAGCATACATTTTGTCTTATCTACCTTTCTCTCCTTTCTGCCTTCTTCATTTTTCACCATTTTTTCATTTTTTCAATATATTTTTTGTTGTCTCCTTCCCTAAACTCATAATTTCTTTATTGTTACATATTTGTTTTCAATTTTCTATGTAAACTTTGTTTTTCAAGACGTATTGTAAAACAGCCTCTGATGAGCTAAGACCTCAACAAGCTCTGCTTCTAATAGTTCCTCTTTTCCCGTGCCATTACTATGATATTTGTCTTGTTTCATTATATATTTTTGTGTAATATAACATTGCAATTTCATTGTATTGTGTTTTGCAAGAAAAATAAAATCATTTGAATCTTAACCAGAAAAGAGGTCCCAATGTCCCTATAACTAAGCGAGGGATGAGTTGATGAATTGTTAAACATAAAGTATAACACACAAAAGCATCTAAATCTATAACGGCACGATGTGAAGAAAAGTTAATGGTGCAGATAAATACACAATGGGGGAGGGTGACAATAGACAGGAAATGCAACGAGGACTTTGTACCTGTCAACATTGGTAGTACAATGAAGCCTTTCATATTCACGTGCATAGGAACTTACAACATGTTTCAGCAGTGCATAATTATGGTCAAGGGCCTTATTCATTAATTTACGGATTGAAAATGGGTCGATTTGAAAGTCGTCTAGCAACATCAACCGATGAATCAACCCTGTACGATATCCTCTATGAGTACGTCATCGAACAGGACTTGGGAGACGAATTCACGAATTCACAACAAAGTAAGTTCGAGCGTCAGTATAATCAACAAGAGAAAATAATATCCTTGATCGTACATATTGCATTCAAGGTAAATTATGTAACAGAGTGCGTGAATTTGATAGGCTTTAAAGGTATATACCAGTTTCGGAAACGCCCCCTTAAAAATGAAATGGAAGCTCTCATTACCAATCATGTGAAAGAATATGACTAATACGTGATGATACAAATTTTGCCGGAAAACCGCCTACTAATTGATATATTTTGTAAATTATTATATCTATCCGGACTAGATAGATAGCGCGTAGTCCCATATACATCTTTCTGTGTACAGTGCATGTAACTTTACCAAGACTGGTCTAAATTTCTTATCATTTTTTGATGATTACAGAATCTTGCAGTACACACCAATACTTATATACTAGATGATCAACCTTTTCTGTTCGATTCCACAACGTTTCTTTTACAATGCAATCGCATGACCAGAAGTGGTATATACCTTTAAGGTGGAAATTCAAAGACAATCGCAAATAATATGTCAACTAAATCACTAGAAACTGGTAAGTAGATGGCCATCGTACAAGTTTTTAGGTCAACTACATATCGGGTGATTTATAAAAATAAAAATACAACCACCTCCATAGCAGCTGGGATATACGAGAGATTTGCCAGACAAATAACGATGTTTTAATGACGTCAAAATATGACCAATACTGCCCAAGCAGACGACATCCCATAAAGAATGAACATAAACTGCAAAGCTATTATTGGTCAAATTATAATGAGTTTAGTGTTTATAAATGTGATGGCATTTCAAACCCTTCAAAAGGGGATATGAAACCGATTATGATAACTAAAATATTTTTTATGTAAATACACAGGATAGGGGTTAATTAACAATCAAAGAAATCAAACTTACAAATCGAAAACCTCCGGAATGATATTGAGGACGGCATTTGTTCCCTCTTGAACCGCCGAACATACCGCGGTGTGCGCAGCTGAATATACGATGGCGTTTTTTTTGTTTACAAGCGACAGATTCCTTTATTTTTGTATCGACGCATTTGGCATCAAAATAAAACTATGCGCGGGGTTTAGAGTGAGGCAATAGATTATACATTTAGCCTGACGGTAGTGAAGTAAGAGAAAGAACTCAAGAGAAGATGAAAACACAGACGCTGAAAATGTGTGAGATGTCATGGGACATCGTCTGCTTGTGCAAATCATGTCCATATTGTGATTTCACACATCTCAGCAGCCTTTATTGATTTAATAACAAGTCCCTTCGACAAGATAACATCCATTTCACTCCCAAAATAAAATCATTTCAAAAATCAAAATAACTTGATATATTTGGAGGGTATTTTAAAATGTCGGTCCTTATGATACTAAAATTTCTTGAAATATTGTTGTTAACTGGATCAATGCAATTTGGTGCATACTTTTAGTCAGGATTAAGATAAACTCCTATACGCTAAACGCCAATCACAACGATTTGGGGTAACGTTTTGATCAAAATTAACTTCTTTTCAAAGGATTTTTGTTTTTTTTTTCGTTGACAATTTTTAATGGTAAATAACTAAATATACATGTAATTTGGATCTTAAATTTGCGTCAATTTGGCGCCAATTTCAGAGAATTTTGAAGTAATGACTCATTAATAATGTATAACATATTTTCGGCGTTCCAAGTCAAAGGCGATGCCCCAAAATGGTGGTGCCCAGGGGCCGAATTTGTCATTGAAGCTATCGATTGAAGTATCATGAATGGTGTGAATATACGTATTATGTTAAAACCAATCTATTTCCCACAGATTTCATAAATCATTTCAACCTTGGGCACTTTTCGGCGCTTCTCACCGAGGTTATAGATGAGACAGAATGCAAGAGAGAAGTTATCGGATGCGCCTTCCTTTCCTTTCCATATAATTACATCGCTGGTCGGGCATGTTTTCTACACTGCTGTTATGTGAAGCCAGCCTACAGAGGTATGAATTTATTTTATATTCAAAATAACCTTCACTCCTAGTTCTAAGCCCCCCCCCCCCACCCCAACCAGGTTACGCCAATGCCAACTTCTTTAACTCTTTGTCAACCATATCACAGATATCCCCCCGCGCTACATTAATGTTGCTCTGCCTTATAACTCGGGAACCCCATAACACCTAGCCCATAATGCAGTGCAGAGTTTATTCGGGGTAGAGTTTCTTGACGAAATATTCATTTTTACTGATTTTAGAAATATATAGAACCTTATGGGTAGCATTCCTTTTGTTCATCTTTCTTGTTTTTGTGTTATAATATATATATATATATATTATTATATATATATAATTTAGACAACAGAACATAATTGTTTGCATTACGTTCCTGTAAATCATAATAATGGCCGGTGATGTATAGACAAGGAATATAAAATATTGATTCATGTAATTATCAAATAACAAGATTCAAGATTACGTTTGAACTATCATGCGGTGGGTTAGACAACATTTTTCTACCCCCAAATATATGATAACGATTTTAATTATTTGATAAATCCATTATGATATTTTCTTTTTATCCTCTAGACCGTGGACTCCAGCATGAATTGATAAAGCTAGCCAAAAAGGTTTGTTTCAACTTCAACTTCCAATATAGTTGAACAGAACATTAATGGATTCAATCTCTTTATAATTATCTCCTCTGAAATAGTTTGTTTGTTTATTATTCCCATCGTATAGAAAGAATATACAACGAAAATTAAAAATGATAGACATAATTATGTCATGATATTCAATTATACCTTTAACATAAGCAAACACCAAATCATTAAATTGAACAACAACAAAATTAAGAACGAATGTGTGTCCAACGTAATAATTGTTTCATAATTTCCCCTTTTCTGAATAAGCATTAATATTTATCAAGATCGCTGAATGTTTAAGTTGCATTTCCCTGACAATCTTTCCTTTAGTACACATTCACTACCACCACCATATCATCATCATCATCAACATTGTCATCATCTTAATCTCATCATCACTCATCATCTCTCTCTCTCTCTCTAAGTGCCATATCGTTTGACTTTGGCGATCATGCTGTTCCACAACCCTCGGCTCCTAGCCTTCTGTGTTAGTACCACTCCCAGTTCTTTCACTCCTCTCTCTTCCAACAATTTTTGCAGACTGTCCATCCAAAGTATCCTCCTTCTTCCCTACTCCTTCCCACAATTTCCCTGTCAAAGCAAGATTCTCTAGACTTTCTTTATGTGTAATGTGAACCATGACTTCAACTGCCTAATCAACATCTCACGTATCATTTTCCCTTGCACTCCAGCTCGTGTAAGAACGTCCTCATAACTAACTTTGTCAGTCCGGGGGATTTTCATCATTCTTCTTAAAACCACATTTCGCAACTTTCCAAACGCTTTTAGTATCAGAAGCTAAAGTCCATGCTTCACTACCATACATCAGTACTACTGGTAGATGTAACAATGCAATACTCTTATTCTGGTCTATACTCATTGTTCGATTTGTCAGAATATTGCCTAACTTTGAAAATGCAGATTTAGCGAGAGCTATCCTTCTCTTGATCTCTCTGTCTCACATCTGGCATCCTCGGTGATCATGCTGCCGAGGTAGTTAAATGAAAAGACTTGTTTAATAATCTGTTCTTTCAGTTTCAAGTTACATTTTGGACTGCTCTTCTTGGAGACCACCAGGTACTTTGTCTTGGTATAGTGTGATCTCTAGTCCCATTCTCTCACTTTCTTTTACAACTACATTCAGGAGTCTCTGGAGATCTTTCTCTGATTCAGAAAATAAAACAGTGTCTTCAGCATATCTAATATTTGTGATTGAATGGCCACCCACTTGTATCCCATTTTCAGCCTCCAATTCACTATACATATTGAACAGGTCCGGCGACATAACACAACCCTGTCTGACTCCCCGTCTGATATTAATATATTCACTACACTCTCCTCTACCCTGATGCATGCAAACTGATTCCAATATTGAATTTGTAGCAGTCTTAGATCTTTCCTATATATCAAACTTTTTCAGCTATTCAAAAAGTTCTGCATGTTATGCTTTATCAAAAGCCTTGGAATAATCAATAAAACACATGTGCACATCCTTTTGCATTTCCTCTGCTCTCTCCGTTATATTTCTAACGACAAATATTGCATTTCTT